CTTGATTCGTCTATCCAAAAATCACCTCGTCAGTGACCAAGAAGATTTTAATGAATTTTTAAATCCTTTAATTCCTCCTTTTCCTGCAATATAATGCCCCTTAAACTAAGATTAAAAAATATACATATACTATGCCCAAAATGGCAAAACATAAAGAACTGGTAAAAAAAAAAATCTCTTTTTGAGAAGCCATTGTGTGATCAGGATTGTGCCCAGTAACAACTGAGAAGATAAGTTATAGATGTAACGGAATGTCTTTCTTGTTGTGAATTTCTTTTACTCTTGAATTGTACTCTTTCTCATGAAATACAGTTTCTATTTTTTATGTTATGTTGAAACCAACTCGTAAATGATGAAATTGTTCATAGGATAAATGCAAAGAACTTATGATTAGGAGGACCAAAGTCGTACTACAATTGTTTCCATTGGGTTGGGGTTCTGCTATACTTGTAGCAGAAATTCTGATGCATTCTCTCTTGGTAAACCAGGCCCGCACAGGACAGGGGATTGGAATTCTCGAGCATGTGGGCTGGGCCAGTAATCTAGTTGCACAACTTAGGGCTCCGCGAGATGGGTTATTCCCTGCAAAATTTAGAAGTTGAACTTAATGGCGTAATGCCGAAGTTTTACAAGACAATGATTGCAGGATCTTGATAAATAATTTCAAGAGGTTAATATCAAGCATATTTATAGACAAGACAACCATTTTGCTGATTCTTTTGCAAAGATGGGCGGCGAAACAAATGGATTCTTCTGTTTTTGGGATTTTTTTTTTGTTTGAATCTTTTGTTTTTGTTAACTTGTAAACCTTATGAAGTGGCTAGACTTTGAATATTATTGTAGGTGACTAGAATTACAAACGAATCAACTCGCTCGAGAATGCTCGTGAGTTGATTCAATCAAAACTCGACTTGAACTCGATTAACATTGAGTTTGAGTTGACCATGTCAAGTTCGAACGTAAAGAAACTTAACTCATTAATTTGCAAGTCAACTTGATTATATATATATATATATATATATATGTAAAATTACATATATATATTCATAATATTTTATTATTTATTGATGAAAAATTACTATTTTATTCATTTTTTTAAAATAAAAATAATTAATTTTTAGTTTTTAAGTTCGAGTAGACTCGAACTTGACTAGACTCAAATTTGAGGTCAGACTTGAATTCAAGTTTTACATTGAAAGTTCAACTCAAGCTCAAACTTGGTAAATTTGAGTTTATACTCAAATTAAACCAAAATTCGATTCGATTCGATTCAACTCGTTTGTAGCCCTAGAGGACTATGGCATTAGTAAACTTATTTTAGTTAGGTTTAGTAATATTTTGCCCCACTAAAAATAGGGGGTAATAACACTTTGCCCCCTTAATAAAAACAATAGGCACTTTATTCACTTGAAAAAGATCATGTATGGTATTTGTGTCAAGTATTATATTTCAAAAAAATAGAAAAACAGACTACTTAAATGTATTAATAATTCTACTCTTATCTTGTAATTTTATCTTTAGTCAAATTGATCCTACAGAAGCATAAGTTAGGGCACCATTGTGTAATAGATTAGTCCATGTTATATATAATTCAAAAATTTGGTCGATGATCGAGAATCCAGTAATCAAATTTTAATATCCGATATTTGTTATCCGAATTTTAATATCTGATATCTAGACTGGATAGACCAGTTTCTCAAGTTTTTTTGGAAGTATGAACACCCCAAAATGTGTGTTGTTTCTGAAAAAAAACTTTTGGTGATACATATGACTTGGATTCCTCAATAAATATCCTTTATAAATTACACTTATTTATCAATAGTATAACGGTATATAATTAATCAACAGTATTAGGATAGAATTATTAAAATATTTAAGCAGTCCATTTTTCTACATCTTTAAACAAAATACTTGCCATAAATACCAAATAAAATATTATCAAGTGGGTAAAACGCCTATTGTTTTCATTAAGGGGGACAAAGTTTTAATAGCTCCCAATTTGAAGGGGGCAAAATGTTATTAACCCTTGTTAGGAAGAATGAATTCTATCTTTAGCACCAAAAAAGGTAGGAAAACGTCTCTATGAAGCTTATGAAACTTGAATGGCCATTGCACCTAATCTTTGTAAGTGATTTATAGTTAATCCTTGTAAGAAATGCGGACTTCCATCAAGTAGTGTTGTTTCTCAATTAGATACAAGTGTGCTTTACCATTTAAAATTATTTTTCTGCTTTTTAAAGATAGTTTAACTGCTAATATGCCGTATGAGTTTTTCTATTCTTTTAATGAGTTATAATAAAAGATAAGCACATGCACACTTGATTACAAGCAGAAGTTGGTGTTTTTATAATAGCCTTGCAGTTATTACAAATTGTCCACTAATAATCGAGGAAGTTTTGGTCCGGTACATGAGTTGAGATTTTAAAAATTAGAGAAGTTTTAGATTCATATCTCCCCTTCCTTTTTGATTTCTTAAATTTCACTCTTTCCCTACTTTAAAAAAAAAATTAAAAGTACCCACTAATGCAAGTAATTTTGAAGATCGGTAAAAATAGCAAATGAAGGATGGATTGCCGCCCATTCCCATATTCCCAATTTCCCACTCTACACATAGTCAAAAAGGACAAAAGAGATTGGAGCCTTTGGTCTTTTTCTTTTGTTTCTTTTCCCATCATTTCTACTTTTGTTTGGTGACTTAGTTTAAGCCCATCTTTTTCCATTTTTAACCTCATAAATCTCTGGGATTAGCATTTTTTGAAAGGGTCGGAAACTTCCCTTCCGCTAATCGCGCAGCAAATTGAACTCAATCCAAGGAACCAAAGAAGGACAAAACAAAAGGCAATTGATTGGTCAAACACCATGGTTGACGGTATTCTTCCCTGATGAGTCATATGTTTTGGGCAAATCAACGCCGCTGATGAGCCATTTTGATTTTAGTAGATTCATTTGTATTGTCAACGTTGTCAGATGGTAGCAACTCCAGTTAATTTGTCTGTAAACGTATGTATAATTTCCTCTCCAACCGGGTCTATGCCCATTGCCCGGTTAAAAACCGCAAGTAAATCACCAATCTGATTTTATCATATGTTATTATGAAGTAGAAAAATCGTCTTGGTTTAAGATTACTTTAATTTCTTCCTTTCATCTTAGTCTATTGTCTAACTAGTTAATACACTACCTAGACTTTTGCGAGCTTGTTCTCGACGTTCTCGTTTGTACTTTTGTATTATTCTGATTATAAATTTTTTTAATGATTAAAAATTAAACCTATAATCACCTGAAGAGTAGTTTTTGTTGATTTTCATTACTCTCTTTAATCAATTTCTATAATCAAATTTTATAAAATCTAGACCGAATGAAAACAAGGCCTATGTATGTTGCTTTATTTTAGGTATTTATGTACAAGAAAAGAAAGTGCAAATAAATGATTTCAACATATCCCAATTCAAAAGTTCGTTGTTTGAGTAAATTTTTTATACATTGACTGTCAGTGCATATATATACATATATTTTTTACATTAGTGAATTTAGATTATTCCACCTAATATAAATTCAAATTTGAAATTTATGACATGCAATCGTAGTTGCTAGCGCAGAAATATCACCACACTGTCAGTGTATAAAAAGTTGATCCTTTTTATCTTTAAGGGCTTAAGATAAATAAATAAATGCTGTCTTTCAATTAAATTGGCAAAGGCCAAAGCTAAAACTGGACAAATTTGAAAAGTTGGGCATGGCCAATACGGGGGACGGTGCAGGTCCCTCCAACTAACAAAACGGTGAGTAGAGATCGATGCTTTCTGCCTACACAGTAAGGTTATTTTGTTGAAATTTCTTTCCAAGAGACAATAATGAATGCATTGCTTTTTCTTTTGGACACCCTGTGCGATTGAGAAGAAAGAGAAAGATAGAAAAACAAAAGCGAGAAAGAGCGGTGGAATTGGAAATTGCCATATTACAATTGAAGGACTGAAAGATTAGCTGTGGGTTGTGGGACACAGCTGAAAAAGATAGGCATGGAAGAAAGAAAAAGAGCGAGAATATATGATGGTCCAGCAATACATGTATGAATTATGAAGTGAGCAAGAACTAGAAAAAGGAAACGAAAAGGAACGTGTGTCCATTACTACGTTAGACAAAATTAGAGGCACATGCCACAACTAGTGCCGAATGCCATTATATACGATGCCCCACTCGCTGCACAATCCCCGCATAATTACCCGTTTGGTATGCCCGTATCAAATCTCTGTTCTCATTCGCTTTTTCTTTAATTCTTTGATTTTGTCCTCCTTTTATTTTTATGCCAAAATTTGGTTTTCCGGTCATTGAGGAGTTTCCTTTAGTATTTTCCTTTAGTCTCCCTAGAGCCTAGGTTCGAATAAAAAGGCCGTTAGGAAAACTAGCATTTAATCACGGGTTTGCCAAAATATATTGCGCAAAAAAAAAAATTAACGTAGCAAATTGGAGTATCATATATTCATTCTACTTTGGATACAAATTTTGGAGGTGGATAAATTGCCTTCACATAGATCAATGTGGTTTGGATTTTGGCCACAATATTTTCTTTCTTTCTTTCTTGTAGCAATGTATATATATATATATCTTTTATAGCTAGCACCAATATTTTCTTTCTTTCTTTCTTTCTTGTAGCAATGTATATATATATATATATATCTTTTATAGTAGCTAGCACCAATTTCATTAACAATAAAAATATCAAGAGACAGAAAACAGTGGAAAATTAGTAAACAAGAGTAGTTGAAAGCATCCCTATAGAAAGAGAAAGCACTCTTTAGCAGAAGTGACATAGTATATATAATGAAAAGGACCACAATCTTGTAATCACCTGTTCTGCTGTCCCAATTTCACCTAATGTCTAGAAAAAAAATTAGCGAATCAAAGTAAACATAGTTAATCTCGATTCCATCTCTCACACTCTCTTTCACACACTAGGTTTAGCCTCAAGCAGAAACCCTCCCTATATAAGAAGTGAACCATTACGAAGTTACACAAGACTAACTCACTACACACCACCTTCTCTTCCTCCATCTCTCCATCCCTAGCTCCCCATCATGGCCAAAAATCTTTTCATCCTCTTCCTCCTCACCCTCTTATCCTCTTTGCAGATTCACGCCAGAGATCCACAACTTTTCAACAAAATCCCCAGCAACAATGGTGCAAAAGAGACCCAAGTGGCAGTACCAACAAGTGAGGAGACATTGAACAACAAACAAGAACAAGAGCCAAACTTCATCCCTGAAAACGAAAATGGTGGCTATGGTCTTTATGGCCACGAGTCAGGCCAACTCCCTCCGTCCACCACCACAACCACCAACCCCAGTGGTGAACCCTACAAAGCCACCACTAACCTTCCATACAACAATGAACCAAGAGATTCCTACCCCAAGTACTTGCCCAAGAACTACAACACCGAGTCCTATGTGACTGAACCGGAAGGTTACAGACCACAAAACAACCAACCAAGAGAATCCTACCCCAAGTACTTGCCCAAGAACTACAACGCCGAGTCCTATGTGACTGAACCGGAAGGTTACAGACCACAAAACAAAGAACCAAGAGAATCCTACCCCAAGAACTACAACACCGAGTCCTATGTGACTGAACCGGAAGGTTACAGACCACAAAACAACAACTACAACAGCAACAACTTCTACAATGGTGAAAATACCTACTACAACAACGAGAAACAAGGTTTGGGTGAAAGCACTTACTACAACAATGAGCAACAAGGTTTGGGTGAGACTAAATTGTTGGGCAATAGCTACACCAATCCAAGCAACAACAGAAACAACTACTACAACAACCAAAACAACAAGAACAACTATGGTGCTAGCAACAGTTACTACAATGGAGAGCAACAAGGTTTGAGTGATACAAGATCCAACAGCAACAACTACTACAGTTACAATGGCGGAAATGCTAACGGTGGAGCGCAGAAGAAAGGGATGAGTGATACGAGGTTTTTGGAAAATGGCAAGTACTTTTATGATATTAGCATGGAACAGATTTTGAACCGTGGCCTATATGGAGCAAACAACAGAGGATACTATTGGAATGATAATCAGAATTCTTATAACAATTATCAGGACCAGGAGCAGTTCCAGAACTTCCAGGACGAGGATGACATGCCTTGAGATATCCCAGCCTTGTGTCAGCAAAGATGAGAATGATTTTGATTACATTACATGTGGTGTTTTGAGAGTTAAATTATGCCTAATTAGCATAAAAATGTTTAAATTGTTATAGATTTATTTATGGGGTTTTCGTTTGTTTTTTTTTTTTTTACTATAGTTAATTTCATGCTTTGAAAAAACTACAGTGTGGGAGTATGATTCTGTAACTGGCCATGATATTGGGCAATTCAATAAATTGTACATTAATTACCTTGAAGTGAACCTTGGATCAAAGAAATTCCGTTGGCTTTGGCAAACTTAGATACCAAACTAATTGGAATATTCAGATCGCAAGTTTAAGGCTTTATATATAGTCCACATTTATTCGAATGTCAGACACACAACTCTTTTGAACTATATATATGAAAAAAAAAGTGAAAAGAAACAAGAATATAATAGTGGGCATCATGTACAAGTGTAGTTAATGATGATCCACAATGCTTTATCTAAAGGCAGTCTAACTTCACCAACCAAAAAGTGAAGAAATTTATTGTATGGCAAAGCGCGCCATTTTGCTTCGGTGGTAGCATTGCATTTAAGAATTCATCTTATGATGAAAGGAATAGATGGTACTGTTCACGTCCTTTTGCGGTTGAGTACTGCTAAAATTCTCTTCTCAATGGGGCCTAATATCCAACTATCATCACACTGTATTGAGAGAGACAATTATCGAATATATATATATATATATACACGTATATATGCGGTGTCAAAATTGTACGAATTTAAATTCAATTTTACCTATTCAAGCTTTTACCCTAAAAAAACAAAAGTTGAAATAGTGGTAATAATCATATTTTTTCCAATTCAAATCTCTGTATTTCACCATCACTCACAGAAGCATATGGTAAGATTTTGCTTCCACATGCATGGCGGCCTGTTTGGTTGGGATTACAAAACCTATTGGCTATTTCCTTTAACCGATAGTATCAATTATGGAACAAATTAATGCTAAATTATGGCCTATAGAGCTTTAGCAACGCTTATCATCGAGGATTTGAGTTAAATCAAGCCGCAAAGGTCGTTTAGGACTGCAATCTATCCAATAGACTTGTGTAAATTCAATTATGGAATGGATAGACGAAGAATAATGGCCGCTCCCACTAGTTTACGTGGGTTATAAGCATCTCAATTCCCAATTTTCCGGCAATAAAGTGATTTGTGAGGCATGATAATCCATACCACGCAACCCGCAATTGGGAGGCCTCAAGGTCCGGGCTCTAAATTGAAGTTTGTCCCAACTTTGTCAATGTAGTTCAATAAAAGAAACACTTGTCGCTTTCCTTCGAATTCAAAATCATGAAACTCATTAGGATATTAAATAAAAGAATTAACTATTTATGCACTGATAATATAATAAATTTTTTATACTAATAATTATAGATGTTTTATATCACATGCGCATCATTTAAATTATAAATTTATATTTATATTATATGGCAATGATTAAAACCTGCAAGTGTAACAAAATTATACACAGACAGTATGTAAAAAACTTACTCTAAATAAAATATGTGTACTATTTCAAGAATCTAGTTTGTGCTTAAAAAGCAAGTGCTCAAATCCAAACTACAACAATTTGAAATATAACTTACAATCTCGATATAACTCAATTTTAGCTCATTTATTATCTTGCTTCATCTCTCTCTCTCTATCTGTCACTACAAATATATATATATTGTGGAAGTTAAACTCGCTTTTGGCTCAATTTACCTTCAAATGTACGCTCAAATTGAGCAACACATATTTAGCAAGTCAAGCATTCTATTCAGACCAAATGAAGAACCTAGCATCCCTCGTCGACTTGTTTGTGCTTCTAGAATTGTTCTAAATTTTAAACAGGAGGGCACTAGAATTGTTTCTGGGAACTAAGAGACAAGAGATTATCAATTCGTTAGTGTCAATGTCAAATGTAGCATAAGATTTGGGCAAATATTTATCATGGAGGACCCATGCACTGAAATGTCGACAGAAATTAGTTGGTGAACCACTGGGAATGGACTTGTGGACTAGCTCTGGTTTGTTCAAACTGAATCGCAAAATTAGTATACAATACAGAATCCAGAAGATTGGAAAGCCGAAAATCAACCAACATCCCATATGAAATTTTTTTCATTTTCTTCCGTGAATGACGGCACTCAACAAAATGGTTTTTTGCTTAGTCACCCCGGAGCACTGAATGTGGGATGTGCTCAAGAAAGACTTGGGGGCTCACTACGGAGTCTCCTGTCCCTAAAGCTCGCTCGTCACGGCTGTCTCATCTGCCATCGTACCATTGTTTAATAATGTGGGGTTCAGTTGTGTATGTGGATCCTGCAGCTCTTACACTTAGTGTATGCTAAGTTGAAATCATACAAATTTAGGAAGGGTCTGCAGACCCTTTTAAGTATTATGCATTTCAGTTTAATCCCCATTCAAAACTTTCGACAAAAAATAAGTTTCTCAAATAATCAGTTCATCACGTGGCGTGTTGAATTGATTATTTGAGAAACACTATTCTTTAACTTTATTTTTTGTCGAAAGTTTTGAATGGGGATTAATGTTGAATTGATTAAAGAAACGCGTTTCTTGAGAAGGTTAAATAAACGAGCTTGGTGGTGAGGAGGGTATTTCCAGCTCGGATAGCGCTGGGATCCCGTCCTGTGGTACTTCGGTTCCGACCGCCTCGGCCTATCACCATTGGAAATTGACTTCGGCCCAGTTACCGCCTCGGCCAAGGCTTTCCCTCATAAAGCCGAAGTGAAGTATAATGACCTGACAACCGGAGTTGTGGAACATGACCTCTGACACCTCTGATAAAGCTGCTCTGACATGCGCCGCCTGACACATGACTGTTCCGGCGCACCTTTCCGCAGGGCCCATCAAATCACCTTGATGCGCTGACCCTGCCAGATCTCTAGGGACCTGGGCAAGCAGTCCCTCTTTCCTGTCCATCCTCTATAAATACTCAAGGCTTCTACTGAGAAAGGGGATGACCAATTTCCTGGTAAAAATCATACACTGATTCTCTCTATTAAACTATTTTCCCAATCCCGAACTAACTTAAGTTTCGGAGTTCTACCGGGGGATTCAGCCCCTTTCGTAACCTAAGCAGGTGATCCAGACCGCTGTGGCCTCTTCAACTGGAGCATTGCCAGTTCACGGTTCACTCTAGCCGGTCCGAATTCACCATTTCAATTGGCGCCGTCTGTGGGAAACGCGAAGACATCAGAGAATGAAGCCTACGCGTTCTAGGAGCAGGAAAGCTCTCACTATTGGGGCTGAGCAGATTAATGCGGCTCACCAAGCAGATATTTCTGAAGGGCAGGAGTCCCCAAGGACCCAGCCCACAAACGAAGAAGCCATAACCCGTATGGCCGAATTTGTGACCGAGAACCCTAACATTTTCGAGCAGTTAGGGAGGTATCTTAAGAGACAAGGCAAGCAAAAGGCCGAGTCCTCTAAAAGGAAGTCGGATGGATCCCCTGAAGGTTCGTCCGAAGAAGAGTCCGACGGGAGACGCTTGAGCCGAAGTGCTTCGAAGAAAGCATTCTCCAAGGCCACTTCTAAGGTAGCCTCCCTGACCAGGTCTTTGTCAAGAGGGCTCTTGGGTCGACGACCTGAGGAACCTCGACCCATGGAGAGAGTTGGGGTGGACTACCAGAGGGCTCCACCCTTCACGGATGACATCAACGAGGAGAGGTTTCCTCCCAATTTCAAGCTCCCCTCGATACCATCTTACGACGGCCGAGGTGATCCTGAAAACCACATTCATGCTTTCATCTCGGCCTTCCGCCTATATTGCATCCCTGACCCCGTCATATGCCGAGCTTTCCCAGTGTTCCTCCAGGGGACAGCCCGAAAATGGTTCTGGGGTTTAGAACCTAGGAGCATTTCAACCCTGGGAGAATTAGTGGAGAAATTTCTTCACCGGTTCGTCTCCTCCCGACCTACGACCAGGACCTCGGCTTATCTGTTGAATATGCAACAGAACCCGGGAGAATCACTTCGGTCGTACGTCCAGAGGTTCCACGAAGAAAGCGTGCAGATACCTAACCCTAATGAGCAGGTCACCATTGCTGCTTTCACCCATGGGCTCGTTGCCGGGGTATTCAATACGGGGATCCACAAGAAGTATCCCCGCTCACTCCACGAATTGTGGTTGAAGGTCGAGAAGGGCATCTAGGCCGAGGACCTCAACCGCATGAAGAAGGAGGTCCAAGCTGCTCGTCCGAAGGTAGACCCCAGAAAGGGGAAAGATTTTGGCCGAAGTGAAGTGGGGTCAGGGAGTGCCTTCCAAGGGGAAGCCACCCATCTCTGAGTCCGAGTTAACCCCCCTGAACACCACCCGATCCCGGGTGTTGTCTGTAATGGAGCAGAACAACCTCGGGAAGGCCCCTCCCAAGATGTTTGGCAGCAGGGATAAGAGGAACTCGAACCTCTACTGTCTGTATCACCGGGGTATCGGGCACGAAATCGAGGACTGCAACGACCTCAAAAGGGAGATCGAGAACTTCATCAGACAGGGACACCTGAAGCAGTTCATCAGCCGAGGTAGAGGTCAACTTCGAAATGAGTCTCGACGTGACAACCGGGGTGATCAACCCCGAGACGCAAGGCGGACGTCGAGAAGCAGTTGTAGGCCCCCCGGAGGATCCTAGGGAGACGAAAAGGCCTCCCCGAGATGGATCTCCAGGTCACGGATTAGGGTATGGATCCAACATAGTCGGGGTCATCAATACAATCGCCGGAGGTCCAACGGGAGGGGACAGTCAGAACTCCCGGAAGAGGACCGACAGGCAAGCCAACCCGGATCAGGCCGAGTCAAGCTCTCGCCTATCCGAGGTGATCTCCTACGGACCCGGTGATCCTGTCCCAGCAGCCTCCAGTAGTCACGAGGCTTTGGTGATTGAAGTGCTCACCAACAATTATATCGTGAAGAAAGTCTACATTGACCCGGGAAATTCGGTGGACGTCATATACCTCCGCACGTTTGATAACCTCAAACTGGCCTGGGAAAGCATCACCCCGGTAAGAACCCCCTTGGTAGGGTTCGGGGGGCACGTTGTGCATCCCGAAGGGATGGTGACTTTGACAGTGACCGTGGGGCATCACCCCAGGTGTCGAACCATCCCAGTCAATTTCGTGGTGGTTAAAGCTGACTCCCCGTACAACCTACTCCTGGGCCGACCTACGCTCAACGCTTTGCGAGCGGTATACTCCACATACCACTTGAGCTTCAAGTTTCCCACCCCCACAGGGGTCGCCGAGGTAAGCAGCGACGTCTGCGCTGCCCGGGAGTGCTACCTCGCCACTTTGCAAGCGGCCTCTCCAATGACCTCTGATAGAAGGTCCGAGAAGAGGTCAGACATCCTGTCGATAGATTGCCTCGATCCTCAGCAAGCTGAGAAGTTCCCGAGGCTGGAGACGGGGGACGAGGTGGAAGAAGTCTCCTTGAGTCCCACAAAGCCAGATCAGATCGTCCGCATCGGTATCCGTCTGTCTGGCCCAATTAAGAAAGGGATGGTGGATCTCCTCAGAGAATACCGTGACGTTTTCGCCTGGGCCGCAGATGAGGTCCGTGGAGTCCCGCATCACCTCATGATACATGAACTGAATGTCGATCCCCAAGCCCGCCCGGTCAAACAGAAAAGAAGGCACCTCGGCCCTGAGCGCAGCCGAGCTGTGGGAGAAGAAGTGGACAAGCTCCTACCCGCTAAGATAATCCGGGAGGTCCAGTATCCGACCTGGTTATCCAATCCGGTCATGGTCAAGAAGGACCCGGGGGCTTGGAGGATGTGCGTCGACTTCACCGACCTCAATAAGGCCTGCCCCAAAGACTGCTACCCATTGCCCAAGGTCGACACCTTGGTGGACTCGGCAATGGGTTATGAGATCCTCTGTTTCCTTGATGCCTTCAAGGGGTATCACCAGATCGGAATGAGTCCAGAGGACCAGGAGAAGACGGCTTTTTACACTGACCGAGGCACATACTGCTACACCACCATGCCCTTCGGGCTGAAGAATGCCAGGGCCACATATCAACGGCTGGTCAACCAGGCTTTCAAGTCCCAGATCGGGCGAAATGTCGAAACCTATGTGGATGACGTCCTCCTTAAGAGTCAGACGACCTCCACTTTCCTTTCCGACCTGAGGGAAGTCCTTGAGGTCTTTCGGGAAACCCGGATAATGCTAAACCCTAAAAAATGTATCTTTGGGGTCACTTCGGGAAAATTTCTGGGCTACCTCGTCTCCCGACGAGGTATAGAGGCAAATCCTGATAAAGTGAGAGCGATCCAGGAGATGTCTCTACCACGGTGTATCCGTGACGTGCAGAGGCTTACGGGGCGGTTGGCAGCCCTGAACCGGTTCCTGTCGCAGTCAGCCTCCAAGGCATTACCTTTCTTCAAGGTTCTCAAGAAGGCCGACAGCTTTTCCTGGACTGAGGAATGTCAACAAGCCTTTGAGCAATTAAAAGGATACCTTCATCACCTCCCAACACTCACCTCGCCTCGACCAGGGGACAAGCTGTTCTTGTACCTGTCTGCCGCGGCTGAGGCAGTAAGCGCAGTGCTGATAAGGGAGGAAGGGGTACAGATGCTCCGGGGTCCGGAAACCAGGTATACCCAGGCGGAAAAGCTCGTGCTGGCTTTGATCCACGCAGCTCGCAGGCTCAAGCCCTAATTTTTAGCTCACCACATCTGTCTGAGGACCGACCAGCCCCTCAGACAAGTCTTATCCCGCCCTGAGGCTTCCGAGCGCCTCACTAAATGGGCCATCGAGTTGGGGGAGTACGACTTGTCTTACGAACCTCGTACAGCAATCAAGGCTCAGGCTCTAGCGGACTTCCTGGCCGAGCTCACTTTTGATGAGGTGAATGAGACCACCTCGGCTAACACCCAGGCTACCGCCAAGCCTCAGCGGTGGATTTTGCACGTGGATGGCTCATCTAACAGCGAGGGTAGTGGGGCAGGTCTGCTCCTCGAAGACCCCCAGGGAGAGATCTGTTCTTACGCCTTAAGGTTTGACTTCGCCGCTTCTAATAACGAAGCCGAATACGAGGCAGTCATTGCCGGGTTCCAGCTGGCTCGCAAACTCGGCGCCGGGCACATCTTGGTTTACAGTGACTCTCAACTCGTCGTGTGCCAGATACTGGGTGAATATGAGGCCAGAGAGGAGGTTATGCATCGCTACCTCTCCAAGGTCCACCAGTTGATCGCCCACTTCGAGTCTTTTGAAATCCAAAGGATACCGCGGTCGCAGAATAGGCGAGCTGATGCCCTCTCCCGGCTCGCTTCCACCTCGTTCACTGACTTGAACAAGTCGGTCCTTGTGGAAGTTTTAGCCGAGTCGGGATACTTGGAAGAAATGGTGTGCCCAGTTTACCCCGGGGACACCTGGATAGGCCCCTTGGTCCGATTTCTTAGTCGGGGGAAACTCCCTGATAACCGAGCTGAGTCGAGAAAGTTTCAGCGTAAAGCAGCTCGGTATGCCCTTCGACAAGATCTCTTATACAAAAGATCCTACCTCGACCCGTGGCTACGGTGTATCACACCAGAGGAGGGTGAGCGGATTCTCCAGGACATACATGAGGGACTCTGCGGAGTTCACGTCGGCCACCGAATGCTCGTCAAAAAGGTTTTGTTGCTCGGGTATTTCTGACCCACCATGAGGGTAGATGCCCAGATCATGGTTCTTAGTTGTCTTTCTTGCCAGCACCACGCCCCTGAGCACCACCGGCCGACCAACCCCATGATTCCTATCACCTCGCCATGGCCGTTTGAACAATGGGGGACTGATATAATCGGCCCATTCCCCAGAGCCCCTGGTAATTATGCCTGTGGTAGTGGCGGTGGATTATTTCACCAAATGGGTAGAAGTCGAGCCCCTGAAGAGCATCACTGGGGCAGCCGTTCAAAAATTTTTCTGGAAGAACGTGGTTTGCCGCTTCGGCCTGCCTCGGGTGGTCATCTCGGATAACGGCAAGCAGTTCGCTGATAATCCCTTCAAGGCGTGGTGTGAAAACCTTGGAAAAAATAACATTTCACCTTGGTTGGACACCCCCAGGCCAATGGGCAGGCCGAAAATTTCAACCACACTCTCCTCCATGACCTCAAAACTAGGTTACATCGAGCCGGATCGTCCTGGATGGAGGAGCTTCCAAGTGTGTTGTGGTCTTACAGGACCACCCCGAGGTCGGCAACCCAAGAGACCCCGGTCTCTTTAACCTATGGGTCCGAAGCGGTCGTCCCGACCGAGTTCATCACGCCGAGCCCAAGAATTGCCGCGTATGCTGCCGAAGTTAATGAAGAAGAGTGGCGGGTTGACCTCGACCTCGCCGAAGAGAAGCGTGACATGGCGGCAGCCAAAATCGCTATTTACAAAAATATCCTAGCTGGTTATTACAATGCCCGAGTAAAACACCTACGGTTCAGTCCGGGAGACCTAGTGCTCCGGAAGAATTCTGTCAGCCGAGCTGAATTTCAGGGAAAACTCAGTCCCAAGTGGGAGGGACCCTACCGTGTTGTCGAGTCCAGCCAAAATGGATATTGTAAATTAACTTATCGAGATGGTTCTCGGGTGCCCCGAACTTGGCACGCTGAGAACCTCAGATTGTATCACCCCTAAAGGGTATGTACTCTACTATTTATTCAACTCATCTGTTATTTTTTCCTTATAATTATTTCATGCTATCCTAAGTAAAAAAATAAGGGGACAGAACGAGTGTATATTAGCTGAGATTGAATAAAAGAGAAGTGAAAATTGAAAGTCATTGTATTAATGATAAAAACAAGTTACATAGTACCGAGGTCGGGTATGAACCCGTCACCTCGGCGACTTGATAAGCCTACCACCTACGCACCCCCTGCCCCGGCTTCCTGGTTGTCCCCGGTTGCCTCAGCCTCGCCGCCTCCGCCATCAGTGCCGTCGTCATCTCCGCCATCAGTGCCGTCGTCTTCGCCATGGAGTTCGGCCCCGTCCAGATCAAATTCAGACAGCCATTTGTTGAACTCTTCCTTCACCTCGGCCAGGTCTCTTCCAGTCCGGATGCCTTAGGCCATGCGGTCGAACAGTTCCTTGGTATCCTTGTTAAAATTATCCTTGTCGTGAAGGGACTCCAACTGTTCCGAAGTGAGGAAGGGAGCCGCATCATGAACTGCTGAGGTGTATCCGAACATGAAGCTCGGCAAGGTGAGCTCGCCAAGATCCTTGAGAAAATCCTCCGATTTCCGGAAGGCCTCCAGCGCTGAGGTCCCCGCTTCTTCAATGGCCGCCTTAATTGACTCTTCCTCCTAAGCCCTCCTATCTTTTTCTTCTGCAAGGGCAGTCATCAAGGAGTTCTTGGTAGCCTCGACCTGTTCTCGCGCTGCCTCGGCCTTATCACGTTCTTGCTCGGTCGCCTTCAGTTTCTCCTCCAGCTCGGTAACCTTCTTCTCCAGCTCAGACGAAGGCTGATAGTTTTCGACCAGTCTAGTATAGCGTTGAGTCAGTTCGGCGAAGAAAGCCGTGGTGGAAGCCCAGGAGACGGAGGCACTTTGCATCAGTTCGCCTGGAGTGAGCTTCCTGGCGTAAGTGTTATCCCTGGGCAGAACTGAATGGACCAGAAGCTCCTAAGCGACCAAGGGATCCTTGCAGCGGTCGTTCACGTTGAGCTCCCACTCCGGACACCATTGAGCGCCGGAGTGCCTTTTATCCTCCCCGGCCTCTTGTGAGGGCACGTTGTGAAGATTGAAAAGGGAGGACCCCGTCACTGGAACTACGGGAAACGCCGTTGTCCATCTGCCCCGGGGTGGAGAAGCTATGGTTACCCCTCTGATGGGCACCCCAACTGGAATGGCCGAAGTGCGGCCCACCCCGGCTGGAATTGTTGAAGTGCGGGAGCCCTCCCCGGTGATTATCACGGGAGACCTCCGACTCGTCGTGGCCGTAGTGGTTTGAGCCGGGGTCTTCTTCTTCTTCGGTCGAGTGGACGGTTCGGCCGGGTCCTTGCGCTTGGATGGCCTCTTGTTTACCCCGGAAGCCCCCGCGGTGATCAGATCGGAAACCTTCGTCACTGCGAAATATAGAGGGAGAGTTAGTTAGAATCAAGGAAAAATAAACGAAGTAAGGAGTAAGGAAGTACAATGTTTTTCAAGCCTATTAGAATAGAATGGCGGACGATCCGGGCTGATGAGAGCTCGGCTGATACCGCCGTCAACAAGAACTGCCTCGGGAAAATGCCAGCAATTGATCCAGAGGCCCGACTCCGTCAGTTTTCTGAAGTTGCTCTCCTCCAATTTACCCGGAGAGGTCTCTTTGACCGGGGTAGGGGGCCTCCACCAGAACCCTCTGGGGATGTCATCAGTCGGGACAAAAATGAAGTTCCTCTTCCACTCCTTGATGGAAGAGGGTGCATCTACCACTAACTTCGGGACCTTGTTCCCGAAGTAGTACCATCCCTTTTCGGTCCCACTATTCTTGAGTGAGTAGCAGCGACGAAGAGGTTGACTGTGGGAGTTATCTCCTGATGTCGGCACAACATTTGGAAGCCGACCAGGACCCGGATCGTATTAGGGGTGAGCTGAGTGATTCTCACTCCCCAATATCTCAGACAGTCCCGGAGAAACCTCGTGGTCGGCATTCTTAGCCTAGCCTCCAACTGGTCGAGGTATATGGCCACTCTATCTCGGGGAGGGAGCTCGGCTGACTGGTCCGGCTGAGGGGGATAGATGCTATAGTCTCTCCTCCAGGGATACTGACGGACCACCTCGGCAATTACGGCTCGATTCATTACGCTGCCGAACAGAGGGACCATGCCGTAGTCAATCGCCGCCAAGTTCGGAGGGGTGGCAGGTTCTTGCACTCCCACATCCCTAGGAACTTCGTCGCCGAGGTCATCGTTGTAGAGGACCACCGCTTCGACCTCGGTTTCCTCGCTTTGTTCCTGGGGTGTCCCGACCTGATGAGACGCTTCGGCCCCCCCTTCCCCGGCCTCAGAAACAGTTCTCTCTTCGGAAGGTTCAGGCCTCTCTGCTTCGGTGAAGTCGGGCCTCACCGTCTCTTTGTGAGTACGGGCTGTCCTAGCCATTACTGAAAAGAGGAAGATAGACTTACTTGAAGATGTTGTTTATGAAGTTGCCGAGGTGAAAAGACAAAGAAACGAAGCTCTGGGGTGATTTTGGATTTCTGGTAAAGAGTGAAATGGTAAAAGGGGACCCCTATTTATAGGCCAACAGGGGGAAGGTGAAAAGACGGAACCTTTGGGATTCTCGAGGGCACAACCTCTCTCCTCATTAATGAGAACACTGTTCATCTGACCGTTGATTTCACGTCCATCCATGGATTCATCATTAAAGCTGACAGCCGTCCTTTCACTCCTCATCCAGTCCCATCCGTGCGGTCATGATGTGTCCCGACGTTCCGTGTCCTACACACTTGTCAGCCTCGGGAAGTAGCCACCTCGGAATGCCACGACCTCGCCCTTCCCGAGGCTTGGGGGGCTTAGTGAGGAGGGTATTTCCAACTCGGATAGCGCTGGGATCCCGTCTTGTGGTACTTCGGTTCCGACCGCCTCGGCCTATCACCATCGAAAATTGACTTCGGCCCAATTACCGCCTCGGCCAAGGCTTTCCCTCATAAAGCCGAAGTGAAGTATAATGACCTGACAACCGGAGTTGTGGAACATGACCTCTGACACCTCTGATAAAGCTGCTCTGACATGCGCCGCCTGACACATGACTGTTCCGGCGCACCTTTCCGCAGGGCCCATCAAATCACCTTGATGCGCTGACCCTGCCAGATCTCTAGGGACCTGGGCAAGCAGTCCCTCTTTCCTGTCCATCCTCTATAAATACTCAAGGCTTCTACTGAGAAAGGGGATGACCAATTTCTTGGTAAAAATCATACACTGATTCTCTCTATTAAACTATTTTCCCAATCCCGAACTAACTTAAGTTTCGGAGTTCTACCGGGGGATTCAGCCCCTTTCGTAACCTAAGCAGGTGATCCAGACCGCTGTGGCCTCTTCAACTGGAGCATTGCCAGTTCACGGTTCACTCTAGCCGGTCCGAATTCACCACTTCATTAACAATTTGTTTTGTGTTATAATATATCCAATTACTTTCTTGATCCTACGGATTTGCTCAACTACAAAGGAATTGGATCATTGTTGCTACAAGGCAATGCCTTTGGAACGGTGTCTGGCAGATAAGAGGGTACATTAGTTTAAAGGCAAATACAAAAACACCTCGATAGATAGCAGTTGACCAAAAAGACAAAAACAATAGTAACATTTGTCATGTTCTATAACAAAAGGATAGGACTTACACCAATTCACAACATCTTGGCCTTTTTCGAATTAATCATGAATGCGAAGGAACCATGTGATCTCATGGATTAGATAGGCTGTTATAGACAATCTTTTCAAGTCTCAACCGATACAGCTACCCCTTGGACTAAAAACTGTCGCATGTTTTAATGTTTGATCATTGATGATGATAAGTGAAGAGAAACGGCAGGCAATCTAACTCTCTTAAAATCTTTAACCACCATCTTGGAAATCTAACATAACTGTGGGACATCTCACAAGAAATATGACCCAAAAGTAAATACTCCCTTGGAACAACTCAATTAATATGTGCACGTACGGAATTTAATATACTCCTATAAGAGACAGAGACGTC